TAAGATTCAACATGACATTCGATATAGTGTAAATTAACTCATTTCAATCACTCAAACGTCAAAATGATAAATAATAATCATTTTCAATCTATTGTAGTAATTCACCGTTTCCACGGGTTTTTTATACCCATTAAAAAGTTACAATAAAGCTATATCTATAGGAAATAACGTTATTTAGTTATTAAGAGGGCCTTCTCAGTAAAATCCACCCACTGGTTTGGGGAAGGGAAAATTGATTTAGCTCATATTTTGCATATGAACTAGACTTTGGTCAATATTAATCGACCTTCTTTCAGAACGTTTCAACTTCCTGTTTTATAGGAGTTATAGCCATGTTGAAATTTGACCTTGCTAGAATATTTTCAGACCGGAAATGAAAGGGAATTTTACAAGAATTCATCTGATTTTTTAAAAACGTTGTGTTGTGTTTATCCCCTCCAGTTACTGTTCACATGCAAGATTAACACTAATACTCTCGTTTACATGGAGATTGAACAACCTAATGCGATTTTTTTATAGTTTTACGAAACTATGTTTTCAAGATGGCGACGAGAGGCTGAGAATTGCTCATATTTTACTTAAAATAGCTCAAAAGTGGCACCTATCTGAAGTTCAACAGGCATGTAATTTGAAAGTATACCTACTAAAGTTAAGTAATCAGGAATAAAACTCGTCTGCAAGCAATTTTCTGAGAAGTTATAAATCTCCAAATTGGGTCTATTTTTAGCTGTTTGTTTGCATTCTCGTGTTCGCTGATACACTAGTAATAATTAAAAAGTTAAATAAGCTGGTTTATTATCCAGATTCCAATTCACAACATAAAAACATTAAAAATACAACCTTAACCATTCTTGGCTTATTCGCATGAATAATTTCACAACTGTTAAATATCTTTTTGAGGTATAATCGGGCAGTAGTTTCTGTGGTTGTAGCAAATTTCAAAGCTGTCAGTATCTATGACTGTATGTAAAAAGTGTTCGGTGCTTTAACTTTTTTATTCAACTCGTCTCGTAATCTTTCTCTGTCCCTGTAAATGGAAATTTTGCCGGAAAGGTCGGACATTAATTCTTGCAGCATGGATGCAACATATTTTTGTACATATTTGCAGTCAAAATACTACAACCTTCCCACTTCCGCTTTTGTAGTCTGTTGTCATTTACTATTTTGTTTTGACTTTTGCATTATTGTAGCGGTTGCCGAATTATGGAGAAATATGGCGATAAAATTTAGTTGTTTTTTTATTTTTGTAATATTTTAAATAATTGTAACAAAGGATGCATTTTTCGTTTGATTCACTACATATGAACACATAAAAGTTTTGAAATTTAACTTATGTCGTCGTATTTCCCTGTAGCTCCTGACGTTCGCAATCTGCGTGTATTATACGCAATTGTCAGGATTAATTCGTTTATATTTTGAACTGACAAGTAACTCAACGCAACGTTTCGTTTCTTTTATATTAAACTTGAATCACTTGACGTAAAACGAATTACGTCTACTATAAATACACACAGGTATGAAATAGAATATCAAAAAATCGCAAGTCTCTAAACGTTAACTGTAAACTCTATGAACGTTCGCATATAATGAATTAGTTTCGCGCCAAAACTGTCCGTGAGAGTCTGGGTTCTAAACTATGAAATGAGCCCACAGTTACATGGCTCCCTTAAATTGGTTCAGTCAAACAATTTACTATATAACTTAAAGCTAAAGTCCTTTTAAAGGTTAAAATATATCGTTCAGTTAGGCTCTCCGTCGGGGAATCGTTTATCTTCATTTTCACTTTGATCACCATTGCATTGGATGACTGCTTTACCGCAATATGGCGGAGAACGCTGTTAGTCAAGCTCTTAAAAAGATTGAAATCTTTGTTGAGGGCTTTCTTTCGTCCCCAAATGGAGATTCGTATGGACTGGTGGAGTATTTAGTCGCTGACGAGGGGAAATTAAAGTGGTTGGGCTCTCTGGAGGACTTAAAATTGTTTATCGAATCTTCGCTTCGCATCGACGGTAGATGGTCATCACCGGGTGGCAACGCCAAAAAATTTACGCTCAAATCAGTCGAACCTGATCAGCAGTTTGGCTTCGTTTGGTATTGCAGAAAGCAGAATACGATAGTGTTTCAGGGCGATCCTGAGAGCGTTGAAGCAGCGAAATCAAAACTTATATCGATTGCAAACAAACATGTAAACAAAGAGACTACATCGATCGCGGTGAGTGAACAGTTATTTGATCAGGTGGACCTACAAGTGCGTGGAGTTGATTGTGATGGTCCTGATCGGCGGGAGCAAGACCTGAACGTAACTTTAGTGGTTAATGAAGAGAGCCAGACTGAACATACTTCGAGTTTAATAAATGGATCATCGACTCAGTATGTATGTGCGTGTACATGTAGTCAAGGTGAAATTATTGCAGAAATAGAGGGTATTAAGCTAGATTTGGCGATCTTTAAGTCGCAGTCTTGTTTTGGTACAGATAATCAATACGATTCTTTGCAATCCAACGTTAAGTCATTGCAACTTACACAGAAATCCCTTAAAAATATTATTAAAACTCAAGACGAGACAATAAATTCACTTCAACAAGAAATATTTGTATTTAAGTCCAAGCTTTTGTCCTTGGAAACGCTATTGTTTAATGTTAATCCTCAATTGAACGCTTCACTTGATCTTGATAGCCAGATACAATGCACTGCGAAAATAAATCCCCAAGGGTCCAATAATGATGTTGGAAAGAGTAATTGCGAAATACTATTACCCACGCACTCGAATAATAATCAGTCTACCAACGAAAATCTACCATCTGAAAATGGTATGACGATTTGTAGTTCGCCAAAAAGTTATCTTAATATCAATGCTAATGACCCTTCTCCACTTGTGAGTGATGTTGTTCCTGTCCAACCTGCGAGTAATGCAGACTTAATGCCTAAAAGTTCTCTTGGTGTAGAAGTTAATGTCTCTGTCCCAAATGTGAGCGATGCAAACTTACCGCCATCCAATGAGATGCAAGTTCCCAAAAATGAAACGCCTTGTCCGTTTATTTTGCGGCGTGGCTGGTGCTTAAAAGGTGAACAGTGCGACTTTTCTCATCGAAATATGGTTAATAATGATCAAGCTCGCCAGCATTCCGACGATAAAAAAGGCTCCATATTTTGTCCGTTTCTACGTAAGAAGGGCTATTGTTTGAAAGAATCCAGATGTGATTTTTCCCATGTCGAACCCTATTCGTATCCAACTGGAAATCATCCGGTAACAAATGATAACTTACAATGCCCCCAATTACATCCTTTTTTAGGAAGTCAGGACCTACAAAATATTCCGACTTTGATGCGCCAACTCGAAACAAGATTACAGAGTCTCGAGTATGCTCAAATACCTCACCCCCCTTACCACCGGTATTCAGTGTCTCAACCGCTGTTCCCTCCACCAAAATCAATGTATCCACGACCACTAATGATGACCCCAGTTCATCCCCCTCAGTATTTACGTCGCCCACGCGACAAAATGAACGAGCAGTATCCCCCAAATTACCTTCTGCGCCCACGCGACATAACGAACAAGCAGTATCCCCCAAATTATCTTCCGAGGCCATGGTTACCCCAACCCTGGCCAACACACCCACCATTTCCACGTCGTATGTAGCTCGTGATAACAATTTCCCGCTCCCTACCCTGCTGGTGGCCAATGTCCGTTCTATAATTAATAAAATAGACGAACTAGAGTTGGTAGCTCAAATTAACCAAGTTGAGGTCATATGCATTACTGAATCTTGGCTTAACACCTCTGTTGTGGACTCAATGATTTCGTTATCGAACTTCATTCAATTCAGAAATGATCGCACATACTCCTGCGGTGGCGGCGTTTCCATTTATATTAAAGAAGAAATTTACTGTAGGAGGCTCGAGCATTTCGAGGATTCAGCCATTGAATCCCTATGGTTACTACTTAGACCTAAGCGTTTACCAAGATCTATATCCGCTCTTCTAATTGCAGTCATTTACCACACCACCTCCTCCGGCGCCAACGAGAACTTTGAACTGTACAACCATATCCAGCGTAATGTCGAATCCTTCCTTTCTCTGCATCCTGATGGTCTCGTGTTTGTGACTGGGGATTTTAACCCTGTCAGTACATTATTTGATGAAAAACGGTTGAAAAGATTGTCTGGTTTAACTCAAATTATTAATGTCCCAACACGTCACAACGCCATATTGGATTGGTGTCTCACAAATGCCAAGAAAGTCGTTTTTGATGTAAGCCAGCTTCCTCCTATTGGCTCGAGCGACCATAATGCCATTTTAATAAAACCCCATAAAGATCGTCTGGAGAATTCGTGTAATAAACAAGTATGCAAAAGAGATTTAAGAGATAGCAGTATAAGACATTTTGGTCAGACTATTACATCTACCGATTGGACGGAGATATTCGAAATACCTGATCCTAACATGAAGTACCGGAGATTTAATGAGGTAGTTTCTGCAATGATGGATTGTTTTTTCCCCAATAAACCAACTAGTGTTAGGGAATCTGATAAACCATGGATGACGTCATCGCTTAAGTCCTCCATTAGTAAGCGACAAAAATCACTTCATAAGTACGGAAGAAATTCACAAGCATATAGATTTTGGCGCAATAGAGTTCAACGGGATGTTAAAGTGGCACGTAGAAAGTACTATGCCAATTCCGTGCAGAAGTTGAAAAGTGCAAACCCTTCCAGATGGTGGAAAAAGGTTAAATCCATAGGGGGCCTCTCTTCTCGGGAATCTTGGGTACATCAACTACTTTCTGAAGTAAACCCCACCTGTGAGGACCTTGCTGAGTCATATAACGGATATCTTGTTGGACTTACTTCGCATTTTAAACCCTTGTTAGAATGCACCGATGACCAGGAGACAGAAGTTTCCAACCATCTACTC